GACGTTCCTTCGTTGCGCAAGGCCCAATTAAATATTACGTTAAATACAGCTCTATTGCGTTACGTGGCCGGCTCTTCGATCATTTCACGCTCACGTACACTTTTTTTTACGATGTCCTTTCGTGACCTAACCGACTCGCTTCTCTCGATTCTTTTCTGCGCATGCCCAATAATTAAGAGAGAACTGGCTCGCGATCACGTTACAGTACAGTAGTGTTATTTACAAACTTTCGCGTCGTTGGGCAGCCTCGTGCGCGTAAATGTTGAATCGCCGTTGCTATTTTCTCAAGAATTTTTACCAACGGATGGAAATATCTCTTTTCTTGTTTGTACTCGTATCGTATGCGATATTGATATATTCGTGGAATATCATCGATAATAAACAAAAAATGCAAAATTTAACATAGAAAAATATCGATTTATTTACGAAGCGAGAAAGAGACAAGGTAGACGTATATTCTATATTCTATATTTTCCTTCTTTAAAATTGCAAACTGGTTAATTCGATAAATAAACTTTAATCGAACCCTTCAAAGATGATCAATCATATATATATATACACGCATATCTAAAAGGATAAAAAGAGCAAAGTACTTAACTGCGAGAAGTAAATTATGTAATCTATTAATACCTCGAATGAATATGACATATAACTAACGTATATAGTCAGATTAAGAAACTCGTGTTTAACAAGTAGATACATCATCGAGGACAATCCGTGAGTAACGTTTATAGCAAGGAATAAAACTTTTAAATACCAAAATATCAAGAGTGTGAAAGGTATCTCTATCTAGAAAAGAAGAGAAAAAAAACCTTTTCGATTTCTATATCGATCTATAAAAATTCTTAAATACCAACAAGGGATATTTCCATCCTCTTAATATTTTCATTCGATGGAATGAAGGAATGGGGATTCCTTTCGAGAAAGAAGAGGAAGAAATCGCGAGAGGAAGATCGATTTCCCGACAAGTGTTTTAGAAAGAGGGAGGGGGAGGTATAATCGAGAGAGGGATGGGTTCGATCCCATCGCGACCCCGAACAAACTTTCTCGAACGGAAACTTGGAAAGTTTCGAAATGGGGGGAGGGAAGGATAGGGGGGGCCATTTGCCGTGAAATAGGGACGCGCGTGGGACGAAGAGAGGGGGGATTCCACTTGC